GATCTCCATGTAAAATACATAAGGGGGGATATGATCACCATGTATAATACATAAGGGGGATATGATCTCCATGTATAATACATAAGGGGGGGATATGATCACCATGTATATAATACATAAGGGGGGGATGATCTCCATATATAATACATAACCATAATGATCTCCATGTATAATACATAAGGGGGGATATATGATCTCCATGTATAATACATAAGGGGGATATGATCTCCATGTATAATACATAAGGGGGGGATATGATCTCCATGTATAATAAATAGGGGGGATATTATCAACCATGTATAATACATAAGGGGGGATATGATCACCATGTATAATACATAAGGGGGGATATGATCTCCATGTATAATACATAAGGGGGGATATGATCTCCATGTATAATAAAAAGGGGGATCTTATCAACATGTATAATACATAAGGGGGGGGGATATGATCACCATGTATAATACATAAGGGGGGATATGATCTCCCATGTATAATACATAAGCAGGGATATCTCTCCATGTATATAAAGGGGGATATGATCACCATGTATAATACATAAAGGGGGGATATGATCTCCATGTATAATACATAAGGGGGGATAATGATCTCCATAGTATAATACATAAGGGGGGATATGATCTCCATGTAAATACATAAGGGGGGATATGATCTCCATGTATAAATACATAAGGGGGATATGATCTCCATATATAATACATAAGGGGGATATGATCTCCATGTATAAATACATAAAGAATATGATCTCCATATATAATACATAAAGGATGGTGGATATGATCTCCATGTATAATACATAAGGGGGGATATGATCTCCATGTTATACTACATAAATACATAATACCTAAGGGGGGATATGATCACCATGTATAATACATAAGGGGGATAAATCTCCATGTATAAATACATAAGGGGGGATATGATCTCCATGTATAATACATAAGGGGGGATATGATCTCCATGTATAATACATAAGGGGGGATATGATCTCCATGTATAATACATAAGGGGGGGTATCATCTCCATGTATAATACATAAGGGGGGATATGATCTCCATGTATAATACATAAGGGGGATATGATCACCATGTATAATACATAAGGAGGGATATGATCTCCATGTATAATACATAAGGGGGATATGATCTCCATGTATAATACATAAGGGGGGATATGATCACCATGTATAATACATAAGGGGGGATATGATCTCCATGTATAATACATAAGGGGGATATGATCACCATGTATAATACATAAGGGGGGGATATGATCTCCATGTATAATACATAAGGGGGGATATGATCTCCATGTATAATACATAAGGGGGATATGATCTCCATGTATATACATAAGGGGGATATGAAGATCTCCATGTATAATACATAAGGGGGGATATTATCACCATGTATAATACATAAGGGGCGATATGATCACCATGTATAATACATAAGGGGGGATATGATCTCCATGTATAATACATTAGGGGGATATGATCACCGTGTATAATACATAAGGGGGATATGATCACCGTGTATAATTCATAAGGGGGGATATGATCTCTGTGTATAATACAAAAGGGGGATTATGATCTCCGTGTATAATACATAAGGGGGGGATATGATCTCCGTGTATAATACATAAGGGGGATATGATCTCCATGTATAATATATAAGGGGGGATATGATCTCCTTGTATAATACATAAGGGGGATATGACCTCCATGTATAATACAAAAGGGGGGGGCATGATCTCCATGTGTAATACATAAGGGGGGATATGATCTCCATGTATAATACATAAGGGGGGATATGATCTCCATGTATAATACATAAGGGGGGGGTATGATCACCATGTATAATACATAAGGGGGGATATGATCTCCATGTATAATACATAAGGGGGGATATGATCTCCATCTATAATACATAAGGGGGGATATGATCTCCATGTATAATACATAAGGGGGATATGATCTCCATGTATAAATACATCAGTGGTTCATATAGTGAACTCAGTGTAGAGTTATTCACCATCCAAACATGGAAAGGTTTCTTCACAGTGAGAGCTGTGAAAATGTGGAATAGTCTCCCTCAAGAGTTGGTTCTGGCCAGCTCAGTGGATTGCTTTAAAAAAGTCCTGGATTCTTTCCTAGATACACAGAATATAACTGGATACTAAAATGTATAGGTAAAGTTGATCCAGGGAATATCCGATTGCCTCTCTGGGATCAGGAAGGAATTTTTGTTTCCCTGCAGGAGCAAATTGGATCGTGCTTTGCTGTTTTTTTTTGCCTTCCTTTGGATCAACCGTGGGTATAGGATTTATAACTTTTTTTTTTTATGGTTGAACTGGATGGACTTTTGTCTTTTTTCAGCCAGACTAACTATGCAATTATGTAACATATAGAAAATGGCTGTTCCAAGACTCTGCAACTTGGAGGACTTGCCCTATGTCTTCTACTGAATTCTCCAGTTTCCCTAGCAGTAGTTGTTGCTGTCCTACCCAGAATGACCCCCAAAGACAATATTCAATGTTTCCTTCTTTGTTGTACTTTGGAGATTTTTCGTATCTTAAACATCTTATTGTCACACCTCCACTAGTAACTGCATTTCCTCTTCACAATTCCTTAGAATTATTTTGGGTAGATTATTTAAATTAAATAATATGACTGTCTGTGTCTCATGGAGAAGGTTTCTCTTCACTCTCTGTCCTGGAGATGTTACAGGTTTGAGAGAAAATTTACATAAAGTAAGGGGAAGGCCCATGTAGAGATGGGAAAGCCTAGAAAAAAAAGCTGAAAAATTGGGAAAAAAAAATTTTCCCCCCATTTTTTCAAAGCCGTTTTTGTAAAAATTGGAAAATAAATAAAGAAGTGTGGAATATGTAATTTTACAATGATAAATAATATATAATGTATAGGACATAGTATTCAAACTATATAAACATAAAGACCTTAATGTAAGATTGCTGAGACTTTTATGTAAAGCCCTAAACTACTGCAAATTCTTACAGCTGAAGACAAGCAAATCCTGGAATACAGTTAAAGTAACACTGTTGTAAGGGAATCCCGGTGAGACGATTGGCGAATAGAAGTGTGCATGCACAGAGAAAAGCGCAATTGCGCACATGCACGCGCACACGCACGGAAAAGATTGGCGCCAGATGGACTATTTAAAAGGTGCTCTACCTGTGCTGAGTGCTGACTGGTGGTCTTCAGCTGTTCGCCGTTTCCTGCTCGTTCCTATGTGATTTCCTTGTTGCTGACCCGGCTTGTTCCTGACCTGACTCTTGATTACTCTCCTGCTTGATACTCGTTCCTGACTTCGGCTCTGCTCTTGACTTTGGCTGCTTATGATTTGGTACCTCGCTGTCCACCCATTGATGGCCCTGGCTATTCCTATGACATTGCTCCTGTCTCCCATCCCAGCTTCCTGCCTTGCTCTGGTGCACACCTGGCGACCTACCATCATACCAGCTCTGCATATCACTACTGCTCTTGAATCGGAGGTTCATCAGTCTTCCAAAGTCTCCAGCTGCAAGAGCTGCAAACAACATCTGCTGGCCCTCTTGTCCCCCCTGGTCCCTAGACACCCTCTGTTCCACTTCCAGTGGGGTCAGGGCTAGTGACACAAGTGAGGCCGACCTTGTTATTTCAGTCTCCAATCAGGCACATGACAACTGTAATTCCCAATGAAGTTCTGAAACAAAAGAAATATGCATATCTGCCACTAGGGGGCACTGCAGGGGAAAGTGTCCCATTTCATTTGCTTGTGTGCTCCATCTTGCACCTCCTATATTTGGGTGATTGCTGGGATACAGTAGATGATAGTTTCTGTCCTCTCAGGCCTTCATTGACAGGTAAGAGGGTGAATTTGTCTGAAAAATTAGATTATCTTTATAACCTTTCATTGATTCCTATTAATGTTCTCCACTATCACAGCATAATGTTTACCTATAGTCCTCTTTTCAGTAAAATGGTGAGATTAACATCTAGAGTTTAAAAACATTTCCACAGCACAATTTCTGCTGCAATGCTGCAATGTGCAAATAATGTGAAAATAAATATTCTTTTCCAAATGGTACGAGGATGACAAAACACATCCTGGCATAAAACATACTTTATGGAATGAAATGATGAGGACCAGAATGAACGTTCTCATTCCAGAAAAACTCTTTCTGCTGTTTCTGGACCATAAAAAGTGTTTCTTTACCAGCAACATCTTCAAGTAAGAAAGTGTTACAAATCACAACCTCCCAGAAATACAAAATCCCTTCATTTATAGAGAAAATTACACCTGAAAAATCAGGAGAACATTGATCAAGCTCTTCAATGAGCAATATATGCTTCTGGATCAGCACTGTCAATAACTGAAAATGCATTTTGATAGGAAGATTTTACATTATTATGAGGGAATGTTCTTAACATATACAGTCCTTGTTATTCCAATTGTAATAAAAAATCCAATTTTAAAAAGCAAGTTTAGTTTATTTAATGAATAAGCTGAACTTTTATTTCAAGCATAATACTTTTATATACACTACATTTCACCTTCCCAGTGTAACCAAACAACTTTCAATTTGTAATACTACTCCACACTGATTTTTTTTTTTTTAATTTTTCCAAAATTCCCATAAAAAGTAGAGAAAATTTTTTTTACATCTCTAGACTCATCTAAGTTGTCAGTGGAACTTTTTTTATTGCAATATTTTTGGATTCCCTTGCCCTACCCCATCTGTCGCTGGGACAATGGTCACCAGGACAAGCAGACGTGAATCTCAACAGCACAGACACAGATAGCAATGAAAACCCAAAAGTTTTGTGTTACATATATTTTAACCTCCCTGGCGGTATTCCCGAGTATAACTCGGGGTAACATTTCAGTACCAAGAGCGGTAACCCCGAGCTACACTCGGGCTTACCATGCGGCGTTGCTAAGGGAGTCCCTGCAGCACTTACCTTGTCCTGCGCTCCCGCGATGTGTCCCCTGCAGCGTCCCCGGCCATCTCCTCCGGCCGATGCCGGCATCCGACTTCCGTGTTCCAGTCCCTGTGACGTCGGAACGTACGGGCGCCGGAACCGGCGGCAAATTTTAAGTTTTTAAAAAATATATCATTTTTTAAAAAATGATTATTATATAGTAAAACATTGCTGTTTCAATGCATTTCACATATATTTTGTCCCTACTGCTTTGTCCGGTGCCCTGCCTACATTTTGACTGTCTTTCTGCCTGGAAACTTAGAAAAGTCCATGGCATCCAAAAAGCGTCCCTTTAGGTCAAAATCGGTTTTGGACCAGCTAGAGAACAGCGATAGTAAATCAGAACCACTTGCAGAATTGAGTGATAATGATTCATGGGGGAAATTCGTCACCAGACACTGAAAACGATTTTGCGACTTTGATCAGTGATGTGCAAACTTGGCGCTATATTTCAAATTTCAGTGTTTTTGGTTTGATTATATTATTGAATTAAATTTATTATTATTATATTATTATTTTTTTATGAGTATTTATTAAGTAAGTAATTACTAAGAATTGCAGGCCTACAATACATAACACCAAATTTCCATGCAAAAAAATGGTACCGCTTTTGGTACAAAATTCCTGACATAATCATACCGCCAGGGAGGTTAATTAATTAGTGAGTTTATGTTTACTTTTACTTGCTTTATTGTTTAACCTTTTGCATATTTTTGGACAGAGTGGGGAAAGGTTAGACCCTCTGTAAGTTTTTGTTTACACTAGTGACTATTGTGACCAAGAAAGAAAGGGAGGAAATCTAAAATATTAAGATTGTCCTTAAAACGATAGATGAGAGGAAATCTTTGAATAGGGACACCTGTTCCGGGAACAACTATCCCTTCACTTGGAGGTTTCCTATAACTTCCTGTTGTACATTTGGAACAGACAGTGATAAGAAGTTCCCCCAATGGTAAAAAAGCAAACAAAAAAAAAAAAAGAAAAACTGGCAGAGGCTTCTTTCTTCCATATTCTATCAAAAACTATAATTAAATAAAAGAATTGTTTTGGATATGCAAGCACTTAATACATAAATTACCTATTGATTATCAGTCCCCAACCATTGATGATACCTTTGACTTTTACCTTTAGCAATTGTGCCCTGTAGTATTACAGGACACAAAGGAAGGAACCAGAAAGTGCAATAGGGGACCAGGCATCTGACAGTCATGGAAAAGAGTCACATGCGTAGGACTTCTTGGACTGTGCAGTTCTTCGAGAGTAAAGATCAGTGGCAACAGTGGGACAGGTAACTCAACAGCCTTCTATCAAAGGCAATTTTATTTTTTTAGGAAGCAAAAAAGTTGCTTCAAGGATACCTAAACCCAAGACCAAAAAAGTAATAAATTCCAGGTACCAGTCCTAAAATGTGGTGGCTGCACTAGTTTTTATTATGAGGATAGGAAATACATCAAGTACAGAAAATACCTGTTGATCTTGTGAAAAATGCAGCAATCCTAATCACTTTCTGTGAGCAGAACAGAAAGTACCAACAAACTTTTCTTTCTTTTGTTACTACTAATCCCTTCAGCTCAAATGTATTGGACATGAACAAAGGCAGACATGTTGGCAGTTGGATTCGCCACCAGCTCCCTTCAAGCTGAGTAACGATACCTCCCCTCTGCTTCTTGGGGTAGGGTAAGTACATGCCTGTAAAGGAAGAAACTGCACCATATTATGACTCACATGCTCCAAACCTGAAGCCCACTTTATCTGTAAAACATTTTCTTGTCCCGAAACCCACCTCCACAAATATAGGAATGTCCCCATGGTGTACTGATTAACAACATGGTCAACAACATGGCACAACAGCTTCTGAACTTCACATTTCCCATTTAACAGTGCAGAACATATCAGTGTAACCAACCTAAACTATTAAAGTCCAGCCATCTTCCCATATGCTCTTACATGAGTTCCTCTGCAGTGTGTCCTCACATGGAGTCTCCATCTGGGCCTAGGCCCAGGAGGTCTTCTGCTCTCTAGGCTACATAACCATGACTCCCCCTTCATATAGGTGAGGAGCATAGCCACCCTGGGACAGGCAGCCTGTTATTTGTAGGATTAACCTATGAAAATAAAGGTAAACTACAATATATAAAAATTTTTTTTATGGATTTAGATATGCTTTAAAAATATCTAAATTGTGATAGGGCTTGGGTAGATCAGTGGCAGCCTTATTGTGTCTTGTATTACGAAAATCAGTTTACCCAAAATGATAGGTCGATTTGTCGAAGACATACATTTTTTATAACTATTCCTTATAAATCCCAGGGACTCTGTTGGTGAGATCTCTGTGCTAATTCCTGGGTCTGCAAACCTGCTCTAGCTAGTATGAGGAACTCCCATGCTCCCTGCTGCAAGCGTTGGAATATGCAAAATGTTCAGGAACACCCAAAACTCCCAGGTAGACAGAAACAGAGTCAGGAATTAATGCTGAGATATCTCACTGTTGGGATATCCAAAATATAAGCGTGTTGGGTAGGTGCTGCATGATGTGGCATGCAGTAAGCACACAGAGCCCCAATTTACCAAAAATGGGGTATTGCAAAAACAGCAAAACAGTACAAAGAGGCCCACTGGGAAGGCTCAGCCAACCGGGGCACTTACAACACTTCGAAGTAGAGACAGTGGTGTTTAGATTCCCAGCTTCTGACATGATCTGCCATGAGGAGTGGAGTATGGCCTGGCCTGGCCAGTCCAACTCAATGGGGATGCTTCCTGTGAAGGTAGAGCTAGCCCCTACTGTTTCCCTACTCCACCAGATCCTTTCCTTATTGCTAGTGCTGTGCCTGACACCCATTCACATAAAGCGTGCCAAAACCAGGGGTAGGGACCTAAAAAAGATTCTGATTGACCCAAGATGGCTGCCAGGGTCAACTGAATCCAGTGCATCTACTCAGATCACTGTTCCAGATGATTGAAGAAACCATGGAAGAACCCAATTGCTCTCAACTTCTTACCCCAGCTGTACTGTATGGTTGAGCACCACCTGCAGTGGAGAATATAGACTGCACCTGCTAGAAGAGGCTAGAAGCTGACCCAGCATAGCAGGTTCCATTTTTTACAAAAAGTTCACCTCTGTGTGGAATGACCCTTTAATGTGCTCTTTATTGATTTTTTTGGTTGGAAGCTATATAGATGAACAAAAGTGAAGTTATGCTTTCAGTGATTTCTTCCACCTACTCTGATCATTACATTTTCAGGTGTTATTATATGATTGTGCTAATCTGCTGCAAAATTAGAGGCTGTTTTTAAGACTTTATGCAAAACAAGTATTGATTGTGGCTGAAGTGGGTTTTTAGACTGCTAATCTGGTTGAATAGTGTCTGATTGCTGCTCCATTGTGGTAAGAAGGTCTTGTTACAGGCTTGACTTACTTTTTTTTCAAAGTGTCGAGTGATCAGTGTAACAAAGCTCACACGTTATATGTATAAGTATTTTTATTCTGAATTATGCAGATCTGACGGCTGATTTGAAGACAACCTATGAGCATACAAATACAGAAATCAAATCTATTAGTTTATTTGAAAAAAAAAGACTCCAGGGAAGGGAGGGAGAAACTGCTGCAGATGTCTGCTAGAGGAGGACATGATAGGAAGATTTGGGATGGTGTTCCAGCTATGTGTCTCCTAGTTGCCTTCACTTCATACCTCCAGCAATTTGCTTGCCTTGTCCCCCCTAGTGTCAAAGTACACTCACCACTCACTTTATTAGGTACACCTTGCTAGTACGGGGTTGGACCCCCTTTTGCCTTCAAAACTGCCTTAATTCTTCATGGCATAGATTCAACAAGGTGTTGGAAACATTCCTCAGAGATTTTGCTTCATATTGACATGAGTTATTATTCTCTTTCTATCATCCTAAACCAGTCTGCCAATTCTCTAACATCAACAAGACATTTTCGACACCACCCTCCAGTAAAACACTCCCTGCACACAGTTAACCCTTTGATCACCTCTCATGTTAACTTCTTCCTGCCCAGTGCCATTAGTACAGTGTCAATGCTTTTTTTTTTTTAGCACTGATCATTGTATTGGTGTCACTGGGGATGTCAGTGACGCTAAGTCAGTTCCCCCCAGTGTCAGAATGTCCGCTACAGTCCCACTATAAGTTGCTGAGTGCAGCCATTACTAGTAAAAAAAAAAAAAAAAAAATCCCAGTATCTATACTGCCATTTGTAAACACTCTAACTTTCATGTAAACCAATTCATTTACACGTATTGGGATTTTTTGTAGCAAAGACATAGAGCAGAATACATTTTGGGCAAAATTTATGATGAAATTTGATTTTTTCATTTTTTTTTACTGGACATGTTTAACTACTTGCCAACCGCAGATAGCCGAATGACGGCTACACTGCGGCCGGCCAGTTTTGGGAGGGCGTCATATAACGTCCTCCCAGAACGCGCTCTTTTGCACACCCCGTGATCTCCGTGATCGCTGTGTCCTACAGACACAGCTGATCACGTGATGTGGTAAAAGGCCAATCACAGCGGCCTTTTACCACGTGATCAGCCAATGACACGCTGATCACCGGGAAATGCAATTGCCGGTTCTCGGCTGCACTTTCCTCACGCTGTCAGAGCATGAGGAAAGTACTGCCAAGAACCTGCAGTTGTCAGAGCAGGGATCGGCACCAATCATCAGGGCACTGATGATCAGTGCCCTGATGATCGGTGCCCAGCAGTGCCACCCACCAGTTCTGCCCAGCAGTGCGCCCACCTGTGCCCAGCAGTGCACCCACCTGTGCCACCCAGCAGTGCCACCCACCTGTGCACAGCAGTGCTACCCACCTGTGCCCACCAGTGCCACCCACCAGTGCCCACCAGTGCAGTCCAGCAGTGCTGCCAGTCAGTGCCACCAGTCAGTGCCCAGCGGTTCTGCCAGCCAGTGCCCAGCAGTTGCGCCAGTCAATGCCCAGCAGTGATGCCAGTCAGTGCCACCTATCAGTGCTGTCTGTCAGTGACACCTATCAGTGCCGCCTATCCGTGACACCTCATTAGTGCTGCCTATCAGTGCCACCTCATTAGTGCTGCCTAACAGTGCCGTCTATCAGTGCCCTTCAGTGCCACCTATTAGTGCCCATCAGTGCTGCCTCATCAATGCACATCAGTGAAGGAGAAAAATTACCTGTTTGAAATGTTTATAATAGAAACAAAGAAACTTTTTTTTTTCAAATTTTTTGCATTTTTTTTGTTTATAGCGCAAAAAGTAAAGCGCTCAGCGGCAATTAAATACCACCAAAAGAAAGCTCTATTTGTGAGAAAAAATGATAAAAATTTCATATGGGTACAATCTTGCATGACCGCGCAATTGTCAATC